ATAAGCTATCGAATGGACTTATTTAGATTCAAATTTGAAATTTGACCATATGACGTAAATACTCGATTCTCTCGCGAAACCTCTCTTAACCCTTTGAGAAATGAATTTTTTTTTCAACTGAAAAATGGTTCTTCAATCAACCTGTTATATTTGGCTCAAAATGATCAGATAAAAACTTCATAACAATGTATCGAGAAAAGAGAGGGTGAAATCATGCGTTATTATATAGTAGGAGAAAGAAAGGAAGACATCTGAGAAGCATCTATATGATAGGAAGAAAGAGAGAAAAGGCCTGCATGAGATGCCAGGTAGGCGACCTATTTACCTTGAAGATTATAACAGTTTAATATGGAGCAAACATTTTGTTTACTGAAAACTAGGTGGGACAACGTATGTCCCATGACCCTCAAAGGGTTAAATACAACAAAAACCAGGGCATTTTTGGAAATTTGATTGTCGAAAAATTTTTTTAGTAAATTAAAAGTCGCTTTTAAACCTAGAGAATCACTTTTTCCTATGTAAGACGTAGCATTCTATCCAATCATGCATAAATATCGCGAAAAAAAAATTTTGCTGTAATTTTGACTTGTGCGCACCTTATACAGATACATATTAATCTATTTGTTTGAGTTTCTTTACGTATACATTGACGTTGTATTTTAGACACAACGGGAAAGTTTCGTTTTTTAAATTATTTAAAAGTATAGAAGTTTATATTTATTTATTTATTTTTCTTTTTTTACCAAACACGTCAAATGGGAGGTTGGATAGGTCATATTGCACCAGGTATGTTCAAAACAATGAAGACTAATGAATATAGATCTCTTCCTTTTGTCTTTATTTAGGCGTATTTTTCATTATTTTTGCTTTTTGGTGGCATATTCATAATTGCGCACGTTATATAAGATCACTTGCTAATGAAGGAGATGATAAAACAAAACGAGAAAAATATAAATTTCAAGGTTCAACCACTTATCCTTGTTACTGTTTACCTGGCAAGGCCTTTCGTCGTTTACCTATTGAAAGCATTATTAAAGTTCTTATTACAATGATTCATTTTTTAATCGAACTTCACCATGGCTGGAGAAGTCAACCAAAACCTCATATTGATGATGAAAATGCCGATCATATGGCTATGCTTTTTGGATTTTTTGTTGGTTCTTGGGTTGAAATTTTAGTTCATTATAAATTTCCATTACCACCACGTATCACTCAAATGATGGGAGTTTTAGCTTTTGCTATAGAAGGTCTTATGTTCATATTTCATTTACATGCACGAAGTATAGTAGATGTACATGTTCATCAATTACTTGGCTTGACAATAGTTTGTTCAATGATTGCTGCTATTGGAGAATGTTATGATCCAAATAATTTTTGGTTGATTTTAGTACGAAGTTTTTTTGCTTTAACACAAGGTACATGGTTTATTCAAACAGGATATGTTCTTTATCCTAAAACAACAAATCCATATTTTGTTTGGGATCTTGATTCACATCGATCTGTTACACTATTAACAATGTCATATGCTTATCATTTAGCTGGAAATGCAATTTTACTTATTATTGTATATTTATTAGTTCATATGTTTGTATCACGTACAAATAAATTAAATTGTAATCAAATTGAACATCATGAACCTGTTGATGAATATCAATTAATTGTTAATGAAAATGATGAAGACAACTAACTTTCAATATATTCCATGTAGTGATGAAATAAATAACCTTCCATTTGGCTTTATATATCTCTTTTTTCTTCTTAGAATCTCACAATCTATAATCGACATCATTTTGTAATTGTAACTTTTCAAAAGACTTGCATTTTGTTTTTTCAATAAAAAATAATTAAGAAAAGAGAAAAAAAAATCTTCTCTATCTTCATTTATATATACATAAGATTGTCATTTATTGTTCAGATATCATGACTGATATATAATATACTAGTAGTTTCAATCTGAAGTAGACATTGATTTTTGGCTCCATGGTTATCAATAGAACAGCTATTGGTAGAACGTATATAATGAAACATTAGTTAGGCTTATTAGTAAAATTTTATCTATTTGTCGATTTATTTTTCATTGTGATATTATGGAATATACTATTTTTTATAATATATTATTTAATTAGCAAGAACAATATTTATTAGAGAAATTATGTATGAATCGATCAAAGATCATATATATGAATTATAGTTTTGAATACATATTTTTCATCTTTTATTTTTCTTGAAAACTAAAAATTAAAGTGAACTGATACGTTTCACATTATTCTTAATAAATATCATGAAAACTCTAGATGAAATGATTTATGTGAATAATCGAACTAAATTTTCTTTAAAATAGATTCTGATAAAGAATTTGTTCATCAAAAGAGAATATGTTATATCCTAACATTCTATTAATGAAAAATCTATGTTTTTAAACTAATGATTAATTTCATAATAAAATTTCAATATTGTTAAAAATACATTGTCGTAGTTATTTCGTCACAATTACTATGCAGACCTACCTCATGCTTATGTAAATACTAACATTGATGTCATAGTTTTATTTCTTAGTATTGACATAAATCGATGTTTGTTTTCTTTTCATGTTATTGAAGTAAACGTTTTTTGTTTTTTGGAAGTGCAGTTTGTTTTATCGATTATCAAAAGCATTAATGGATGAATTCATGCAAATGCATCAAATAAACTTATCTATCCATTTAGGGTTTTTGTTATTTATTTAAGATATTTATTCCATTTCTTTTTTTTGTCATTCTTTTAAATTTATAAACACTATAAATCATCATGACTTAATGTACTATATCACTTCTCGAACTTTTTGGTCAATGAAATTTTCGACAAAAACATACTATCATGAAGTCCATCGAAAACTGCATCTGATCCTGAGTAGGAAAGTCCATTGTAAAGACATTTCTTAAGCACTTTGCAGTCCAAAAAACGATTCATTGGAAAAATCAGTGTTTTGGGCAGTATTATCCCTGTGAAATTTTTTGGCCAATGAAATTTTGAGACAAAAAACCATACTATCGTGAAGCCCATCAAAAACTGCATCTGAACCTTAACATGAAAGTTTATCGTAGGACCAATTCCTAAGGGGTTGATGTGCGTGAAAGTCTGCGACGTCCGAAAAGGGTGGGTGAAATATAGTATTTACTTAGAAATTTTTGCTGAGGGTAATTATTTATATTGGGTTCATATATGATTTTGTGCAAAATTTGATGCTCTTTCAGATGAGCCTATTTGTAGCTATATCAGATTATGTTGTGGTAAAGATAACCTCTCTGGACTGATAAAAAGTAGGGTATAATTGGCATGGGTCGGAAGGCATGAAAGGGTTTCGAAAATATATTGAATTTGACATCAAAAGATTCAGCGTAAAATTCTGCATCAGAAAATAAACTACTTTGTGAATCCGTTCGTGGGCCGATTCCTGTTCTTATGCGCCCCCGTCCTTTCTTCATTTATTATATGGAACTCCAATCTTATCTTACAAGTTGATAAATGTCTATTTAATTGGCGTAGACGTAATGAATTGATCGATGAAGTACTTTCTCTTACTGATACTTTAAAATGTACTAAAATAAGTGATTGTGCCGAACATACTCTACAAGAACGTAGCAATAAGTTTGTATCATCATTTTCTAACACTTTTTTTGTTCTTATATATATTTATATTCTATTTGTATAGAAAACAAAAAAAAAATGAAGATCATTCATCAAAATATGATCCGAAATGAATTAAAGCTCAAACATTACTTGGTGATTCAGTTGATGATG